AGGCTATACAGCAAGTTCCGCATTCCTCCTGGGGCTCTTGTACATTTCAAGGGAGGAATGCGGAAATGCCTATTGAGTAGTTGATGGAAATTCCATCAACTATTTAACTTGTCAATTAATCGCATTTTAACATCCCTAATGTATATGTATATCTGTCTGTCTGTCCAGATAGGTCAATTCCCTCAAATACGTCAAGTGATGAAATCCACATGTTAAATTGCACTGTCATATAACATAGATATGAAATTATACATCTTTAACTACTTCATCTTGCCTTCTGCTACTTGTCCATCTTCCCTGAGGTCACTTATAATATTCCAAACCTCTAAGCAGCTTCAAACAGCTGTCATATTTAAAGTGCAATCTTCCAGAGAAGTGTTTCCTTCTCCCCTCATACATGTGGATTTTCTCCTCAAAATTTCTGTTGCCTGAAGGCTAGGGTTTACCAGATTCACCCTGAAACATTGATGGATTTAAGGTCCTTTTTCTCATAACCTTGTAGGCAGGGCTTAAATTCTCATTGAATATTTCCCAGGCCTTCCTGCACCTCTACCCACAATGTGCTATAAAAACTCCAGAGGGGTTGAAAATATTGACTCGAGCTCCACTCCAGACAGCTCCCACTAACTTTAAGCCCTTCTCCCAGGACTAGAAATTTGAGTTTCAGCTCATAGGAAAGGGAAGATTCACAGCTTCCCAATTGGGCATTTAGCCCTGATAGGCTCCTACATATTAAACCATCAAAAGATGAATTTTAGATGTAGAAGCACTATTTTAGGTCATTTTTGGAGGTTTTTATGTTTCTTTCAGAATCCAGTGTATAGGACTCATGGTCACTGAATCACCTGAACAGGCAGGGGGATAAAAATATATGGTACTTAAAACATGAGTGTCCCCTGGTACCTTGCTTATATTATCACTCATTTCAGTGCTATCACCAACTGTGCTGAACCAGTGCTATCCACTATGTAAAATTTTAGGGGTAAAATCCCAGCATAGACAAGGCTATTGAGTAAGTCAGTCAATAGAGAGAAAAGTAGGGAATCAACCAAATTTCACAATACACTATAACAGGGCTACTCAACTTTGGATGCCCTGGGGGCCACAGTGATACAGCACATGCCGAGGGTGGTTGCATATACATGCAAATATATATGCAAATGGATTTTCACACTGATGGGCATGAATACAAAGATTAAAGCAAGACTACACAACACACAGGCTCCATTTAAGTCAGTTCTGCTGATCCTAATAAAATTTCCACCCATATGGCAGCACTTTTAATGAGCAATGACAGTCCAGGAATGTAACTATTAAAGTGCATATCAACAGAAGACCATTATACTGACTACTTTTTTGTTTTGGCTCCCACCTGTAGGCCACATGTTGAGCCCCGCATAAATCCAAACCACACTATGGACCACCTGCAGTCCACGGTCCACATGTTGAGGAGCCCTGCACTATAAGGAATAGCTAAGTTACGTGTCGTTGCTTCAGAACTAACCATCATTGATGGCTGTCATGCACTGCCAGAGTAGCAGTAACATTTTTATCTATTTATCTGAATTCAATAAAAATTAATGGAGTGTTCACAACCTTAGGCAGGCTAGTGTGAAATTTTATTTTATCTGCCCAAGACCAGGGAAGCATGATTATAATGTATATCATAAATCAACTGTACTCTGTATAAGAAAGAAAGAATTTGTTTGTCAGTGATGGGCCTGCAGTGTGAAATTAGGTGTCTGTGTCTGAAAACTTGTAGGTTCTGGGGGTACTTATAATGTTTTTTTTTAAGGGGTACTTTATAAAAAAAGGTTGAGAAACACTGGCATACGTACATACCGAACTGGGAGTGTTACATCAATGCTAATGAGGCTAATTCAATCCAGGTAAGCATGGCCCACTTCCAACAGCTGATAAGAAGATGAGCATACCTAAGGGAAAATTACCTATTGTAATGAACTAGCTGCTCCCAGTCCCAAGTCAGACCCATCCTGATGGTGTCAAGTCAGCCTATGAATTACTTCAAGAATAGTTTTTATATAGCAGGGGTTGCCTTCATATCTGGTATTGGCTGAATTTCACCTCCTCTTTGTCCATTGACAGGCAGGGCTGGATTAGCCAGTAGGCACAATAGGCACAGTGTCTAGGGCCTACAAAAATGGTTAGGGCCTACGAAAAAATGTAGGGCCTAAAAAATTCATAATTCACTGGAAAATCAGAAAAGAACACTGCTAAACCAAACTTAATAATTCGCTATCTTTGGTCAACAAACAACATACAGGTTTAACATACATTTAACTACAGGCAGTCCCCGGGTTACGTACAAGATAGTGACTGCAGACTGGGGGGGGGGCAAAGCAGAGCAAAGCAGAGCCAAGCCGCGGAGCACGTGGGCAGCGGACAGCCCTGTCCGCTGCCCGCGTGTTCCGCCGCTTTGCTTCCTCTTCCTGGTCTGCTGGAGACCAGGGAGAGGGAGGGCCCCGTTCGTAACTGCGGATCCGACATAAGTCGGATCCGCGTAACTCGGGGACTGCCTGTATTCAAAGCCAAATACAAACTCTTACCAGCTTGACCCACTTTAGAGGTATGTAAGAGGTAGGAAATTCAGATCTGGATTTGATCCAAACTCCTCCAGGTATAGCATTGGAACATAATCTACAACATCTGTTTGGTCCTATCTCCTATTTCTGTTGCCCTAGATTTGAGGGGTATATATACCCCAGAATATGATCAAGCTAATTGCAAACATATTATGAATTAATGAAATAGCCAATATGAATTAATGGAACAGAACACCACAAAGTCCAGTGTTACTTTGGAGACAGGCTTTCAGAAGCAAGGTCATAACATATTGGCAGTTTTGCTAATCAGAATGGGAAGAGGGGAGGAAAGAGTAAAGAACTGAGAATGAAAGAAGATATGTGGATGGATATCCTTGAGTTTAGACACCTCTGATATTAAAAGTTTATTGAAAATTAGGAAAAGTAATGATCCAGTAGGGATCATTATGATCTATGGGTTTTGTGGAGATTGTTATAAAAGGTTAATTAATAGTGTGTACTTGGGAGCAGTCCTTGGGAACTATCCTGGGAGAGACATTTTTCCTCCCATCTTTACTCCTTCGCAGGGTTGCATTTGGCCAACACTGGCCTGTCATTGATTACTCAAAACTACCTCAGAATACTAGGTAAATATTTGGGATGTTCTAACTGTATGGCTTATGTCTGTGTATGCTTAAATCTATTAAAGTCTAGTGATAGACAAAGGTATGCTGACTTGCATCTAATCCTTAATCAGACAGAATCGCTAAATTCCTATCGATTTATTCCTAACACCTCCTGGAGTGAAATAGTTAAGTTGCCCTGTTGGAAATTTTGAAAACTCCCAGTTTACATTACATACTCACCAGAGCCATCTAACGAATAAGGTGTAAAGTATGACTGTGCCTAACAAGCTACAAACTATTAGAAGCTCATGTCTTCCCACTTCCACATTTATCTCTGAACAAAACTGCAGTGCAGAGAATTGTAGATGCTTCCTGGCCATATTTCCAATATTGCTTTTATTTTCCTTCGTGGTTGCAATTCTTAAAGTGGCTGGGAAATTAGTGCCTAACTTAATTCTTACTTAATTAGTCCCAGTAATGTCAGGAGAAGATCAGAAAGGTCAAGCGATTTTCAGCAATTTCTTATTGATGAGCTTAAAAGAACTGGAAAGAAACATTTGAAGGTAGGCTAGAACCTTGCAAGGGCAGTTTTTGGATCCCTGACTTTCCACTAGTTTTTTATTCTTGCAAAAGAGTCTGCAGTCCCTAATATTTCCCCAAGGGGCTTTTAAGACTTTAACAGGACAAAATGGAGGGTGGGGAATAAAACTCTACTTGAGAAACTGGCCGTTAAATGAAACTATACGATATTTGGGAAGAGAACATGTTTGGGGATCTAAATTCGGAGAGAAAGCAGGGAAACACCATGACTTTATTACAATTGCTTCTTCAAACAGGTGCACTTCGGCTGAAACCCTCCCATCCCGAATTTTGATCCCGGGAGGCAACCTGAAGGTTTGGTTGGGATTTCCTCGGAAGACCCATTGCACAGGTTAAAAAAACAAGGCAGCGAGCAGCAGGCTCCGAGCCAGGGACTTGCTTTGCTCGCTGTCCTGTCCCGAATTCTGGCGCAGGGAAGCGCGGGGCTCGCCTGGGTGCCACGGGGCGGCTGTGGGAAGGCGGAGTGAAGGCGCAAGGGGGGAGGCAACCTGAAGGTTTGGTTGGGATTTCCTCGGAAGACCCATTGCACAGGTTAAAAAAACAAGGCAGCGAGCAGCAGGCTCCGAGCCAGGGACTTGCTTTGCTCGCTGTCCTGTCCCGAATTCTGGCGCAGGGAAGCGCGGGGCTCGCCTGGGTGCCACGGGGCGGCTGTGGGAAGGCGGAGTGAAGGCGCAAGGGGCACACGCACCACCCGAGGGCGCGCGGGGGCGTGTGAGGGAAGGGGCTCGCCTCGCAGAAAGCCGGGGCGCCGGGAAGACGCGGCGTGTGCCCGTCCGGAGGGAGGCGCCGGGCTCTAGAAATGCGCGGCCGGGGGTGGAGAGCGGGAGGGGAGGCCCTTGGGGACTGACTCCCGCTGGCGCTCCGGTGCCCGCAGCCGAGCCTGGGGAAAGGCGCGCACAAGCGCAGGCAAAGCTCGGTCCGCGCCAGGCACCAGCAATTGCTGGGACTTCCTCTTGGGGGAAGCTGCGCCGAGGCGCGGGCTCGCGCCGGGCTCTAGAAATGCGCGGCCGGGGGTGGAGAGCGGGAGGGGAGGCCCTTGGGGACTGACTCCCGCTGGCGCTCCGGTGCCCGCAGCCGAGCCTGGGGAAAGGCGCGCACAAGCGCAGGCAAAGCTCGGTCCGCGCCAGGCACCAGCAATTGCTGGGACTTCCTCTTGGGGGAAGCTGCGCCGAGGCGCGGGCTCGGTCACGGCGGGCGCCTCCCCCCCCCCGGGGTCCGTCTTGGGGGAATCTGGGCCGAGGCGCGGGCTGGGTCACGCCGGCTGCCTCCTCCCCGCGGGCGCTGTAGGCAGCGCGCTCCAGTCCCGGGGAGGACGGGGCGCTTGGTGGGGAGGATGCGCTGCCCGCTGCGGGCCGGATTCATCATGTGACTCGCCCGGGCTGCGAAGACCCCTCCTCTCCCCGCACCATGAGTGAAGTGGATGCTGGGCAGCCTCCCAGCCGGAGACAGGTAGAGCCCGGGCTGCTTCTCAACCTCCTCTACTGCGTGTTCCTAGTGGGGACCAAGGAAATCGAGGCTCTGACAGACTTCTCAGGTAAGGCAGCATGGCCATGCCCTGCCCCGGCGCGGGCAGAGCCCCCCTGGCGCTGGGAGGAGGCAGGGACGCGCAGCAACAGGTGGGCACCTTTTAGAAGGGTGGAGGTGGGGGGGAGTTTAGCTTCCCGCCTGCCCAGCAAGCAGGGTGCATGGCCAGGATCAGGGTGCGTACCTAGGAAGGACTCTTCAATACAGGGTGTGCCCAGCACTGGCTCATCAGCAGGGTGCATGGCCAGGATTAGGGTGCCCAGTTTTCAGCAGGGTGTGTGCCCAGGGGGCTAGGGCAGGGTGTGTGCCCAGCAAGGGTTCCTCTTGCGGGAGGGGAGTGTGCCTAGGATTAGGGTAGGTGCCTAGGAGGATGTAGGTGAATGTCAGGGAGGGGCCTCGCCAGTAGAACATGTGCCCAGGGTTATGGTGCCTCCTGGAGTAGTTCCTCACTAGGGTGCATGCTGGGGGTTAGGGTGCCCGCTTTGGTATAAAGGTAGATACATAGATGAAAAGACTAGGACACTTTATTTTGGCTAAATTGTCTGGTTTACATTTTCAATTTTGGCTAATGAGGACTTTGGAATCAGTGAAACTTCGAACTGTTACAGTTGCTTTGGAAATCACTTTTCAAGAGTCAGTTTTAGCCTTTGGGCCTGAATTGGGCACAGAGATTAGCTGTGCAAAGCCCAAATTTAGATAAAGGGCAAAGATTAGTCAAAGGGAGAGCACTGGCTAGCTACCTCTCTACCATAGATGAGATAATAGGAAAGACCCATAACGCTGTAGAATAGAGCAAGATCATGCCCATCCTGACAGGCTGTTAGGCCTACACCACAAAAGTTAATACAAACACAATTCAGACCTCCTAGTGCTGTAGAACTAAAGAAGAGGACATAGAAAGAGAGTGTTGGCAGGGATGTGATATGGGAAGCAGTGTGGTGACTTTAGCCATTCAGAACCATCAATCTCTTTTCAAATAAAACTCTGAGAACACAATTTGCTAGTGAGCAAGGACCTATGCCAAAGTCCATGGGAGTCAATTAAAAATTCCCACTGATTTCTATGCATATTGGAGCAGGCCCTGAGCCACCAGAGCATTCAAGGCCAGTTCTGAGACCAGTGGACACATCAAAATAAGGTGTCTGACAATGCAAGGGAACTATTTCATAATGTAAAATTTAAATAGCTTTGGAAAATGTACTGATGCTGCTGCCTATTTTATGCAGAAAGAAGGGACATTTCTGTTAAAAATTACAATTTCTGTTCCATGACATAGAACATTTCATTGTTGTTATGAAAATACTTAGATCAGCTGCTTGCCTTGCCATACTAATAAAGTGCTTAGTATTTGCCTTATAGTTGCAACCCTAGCAAACTGTAAGCCAGTGCTTTCCCCTCTGGCAAGGCAAAAGATAAACCTCACAATTAAGAAGCAGAGTGTAACTTTCTGAAAGCTAATCAGATGCACATGGATAAAGTTAATACATCATAAATAATATTAATATATTATTATACAGATTAATATAGTTAATGCTAACACTGTTTAAAATGCTGATGGATGGTTGTGCAGAGGCTGGTCATGTTTATTTTCTCAAATGTAGGAAAAATAGTTTATACTATTGTTTCAAATTGAATAAATGTGAAAATCCTATTCCTAAACTGTAGAGAATAAAAATACAGATGTATATGTTATATTACTACCCTTTGCTGCCTTTCGCATGTAAAATATTTTTAAAATACTTGTTATCTTACTCTTAAGTGTTTTGTGGCTTGACTCCCAGTTGTTGGTAGTTGTACGGAAGTTATTATGTAACTGTCTATAATGAGGAAGAAAAGTAATAGAGGTCACACTATAGCAACTAAATTAAAAAATATCCCTAGATCCTCTCACGAAAAGACTATTCATACTTGAAAGTTATTTTGACAAGGAAAACCGAGGTGCATTTTAAAAGTACTTATGTGTTCAGTATTTCATTGTTCTTAGAACAATCTAAATAAATAAAATGAACAAAGGCAATTCCCAACCTAAACCCAGAATCTAACATTAAAAATATGCCTTACATAGAAGTATGTAAGTAAAAGGTAGAAGAATCTCTTAAATTCCAACCTATGGCAGCAGAACTGGTAAAATGTCTAGGCATTGATATCTGCCCACATTTTTTCTAATGTAGAGATGTAATCCTCAGTGACAAATAAAAAAATAAAAATGTTACTGATCCTTTTAAGGGAAAAAATAATGCTTCCCAGAACAATCCAAGCAGATTTTTCACCAGTTCTGAATTAATGAAATTTATAACAGGTAGTGCAGGCCAAAAGCTGTCAGAAAATCCTCAAGAAGTAAGACGAAACTTTTAAATGGCATCCTGAGTCTGCTTATAACTAATATACCTGTTAAGAAGTTTAGGCTATGCAACAAAATACAAAAGCACTGAGCTTCTAAAGTTGCTGACTTTCCTTATGCTTTCCCTTCCTTCCTCAACAAAAGCACACGGTTGATTTTCATAAGCCTTGTTGAGTTTATGTGAAAACAAGTCTGTCTCTTTTAAAGAGACAGAAAACTATTGCCACAAAGACTCCTAATAAAACAATCTCTCTCAGGGACAGCTATTAAAAGAAGTTGTGCTGATTTATATCAGATGAGGACCTGGCTGAATGTTTATAATCCACATGCATGTTCACTTTTTGGAGAAGGGACAATTCCCAATGTGAATCTAACAGCAAAATCTCTGTGCGGCCCAGTGAGGATTTCCTTTTGAAATCCATGTCACAGCAAAAGAAACTGAAAGAGTCAAGGAGTCATTTAAGTGTTCTGTACAGTAGGATCCAGTAGTGAGAGATTAGTGATGCTCACAGAGTTGGAAGGAAAGTAGCTTAAGCTTTTTCTCCTCATCACAGATCTTAAGCTTTTCTACTAAGATTATCAGGTGACATACTTTCTTGGTTCACTGATTTTTTCGCTCTATGATTCTAGAATCAGATCTTTAACTCAGCAGCCCTAAACTGGCCTGCCTCTCTCCTCCTTCTCCTGGCATTCTGATGGCTTCCTCTAATCACTTCCCAGCCTGCTGTGAGAGCCTGCATGAAACAACAGTACATTTACCCTTTCTTGTTCCCTTTTTAAATACATTAAATTGTCCTGTCAGTACTAACCTGGAAATTGTTCAGTCATTTGTTAGTCACAGGACCTAATTCTCCCCTAATTTGCAAACATTTAGAGCATATACAATAAAAAGATATTCCAAAGAACAATGACATTTTAAGCAAAATGAGGGTAGGGGTTTACTTAAAAAAAAGTCCACATGTTTGACTTTTAATCAGCTTTCCCTTATGACAAGGTATATAACTCCCTCACTGAACAGCAAAGGGTTAAAGAGCTGTTATGGACTCAGGAGGCCAGACTCCTCTTACCTAGCTAAGCGTGCTCCACTTGGGAGGTAGTATTTACAAAGAACTGGTCAGCTCCCTGGGAAGTGGACAAGGCAAAGAGAAGGTCTTACTTGGATAGCTCCAAAAGAGTACACAACCAGATCCAGACTGGGAGAAGGCATGGTGGTGAGTGGCAGCTCTTATGGGTCAAAGACAGGTAGGCACCTTGAAGGGACAAACTTGCAACATCCTGAGAAAGAGGGAAGTAGGAAGTGGCCAAGGAAGGCTGACCTGAAGCACCCAAGATGAAAGATGCTGGACAGGCCTTATAGGGCCCTGGGTTACCTCCCCCTCCTGCTGCAACCACCATAAGGTGGTAGACAGCATTCCTGTTGACACCTGGTGGAAAATGTGGGCAACATGACAGAGGTCTGCATTAAGACCAAAATAGAGAGAGGAAAAGTAAAATGGAGATTGACAAACTGCCAAAATGGCTGGTGGACAACAAGCAAAAGAGGCAACTCCACAGGATCTGCAGCAGCAGACCAAGCTAGTCCACCAATACCAAAAAGTAGCCTAACAACAACTATAGCTCATCCAGGAACTGGCGACCCAACAACAAGAGCAGCAGGTTGTCCAGAAAGTTGTTACCCCTTGCCACCCAAAGGGGCCAGCGGGAACCCTAGGGGGCAGGGACCCCAAATCTTGTGATAACTGCCTCCCAGTGAAGCTCTCAAAGATGTACCAAGGTATGACCCAGAAGCATTCCTGTTCACTTTCAAGAGGGTCACTACAGTAGTTCAATGTCCCTCAGGACACTGAGCTACCCTGATAGATCCATACCTGACAGGGCTAGCCCAAGCTGCTTACCACATCCTTGATGTGACGAGGGCCTAAGGTCAAGGCAGTCATCTCAGAAGTTTCTGATATCACCACGGAAATCCACTGGTAACGTTTATACCAGGAAGGATTTCCACAGACTGCCTGGCTAGAGCAATGGCCCAGGACCTTAAGTGACGCTGCTGGAGATAGCTTCAAACCAAAAAGCAAACTGGGGAATAGACAAGTCTCAAAGGGCTAGCTGTGTTAGTCTGTAACTGAAAAAAACTTAAAAAAACCCCCAAACAACCTGAATGGTCTTGCAGCACCTTAGAGACTAACAAAAATATAGATTGTGTCATGAGTTTTCTTGGGCACAACCCACTTCTTCAGATGAAAGCTCATGAACAAGAAGAGTTGGAGCAACTTACACAGATTGTTCCCACTGCCAGCTGACCTGCAACCCAGTCACATCTAGGATGAGACCCTCAGGGTCTGGGCCCATGGGGATGAGCACCCCAAGGAGAAACTTAGCCCTGAAGGGGGAACTCATGGGGACACCATGCTGTCAGTGCTGAAAAGGAATAGAAGAGCTGCTTCTCCTGCGAGTGACCAGGCCATTTATGTCAGGAGTGCACCTACACAGTCTGTTCCTATGGGCAGATAGCTAGGTCAGAAAGAAAATACCAGGCAAAATGGTAATTCCTGTGCAGGCTAATGGGGTGACTGTGCTGGGGTTGATAGATTCTGGGTACAGCCATACAATGGGTAGAGCCAGACATCTAGCCAAGCGGGGAGGCAATGTAGATACCATCTATCTGCTGT